GGAGGAAGGAGGCCCTGAAATACTTGGGATTTGAGGGAGGGTCACGGGACACAAGCTTCTGGTACAGGGCGTTGGCCCCTTTAGCAGTGAGTTTTCAGGGTAAAGTGTCCGCATTTTTCCAAGTGACTTTTGTAACTTGTTCAGATTAAATAAGTCTCTCCAGACTGTCTCATCTGTCATCCGTGTATGGCTTTTGTCAACATTTATAGCCAACTGACCCCAAGTACATATGGCCAGACCAGACCTGTCTCCTCAGCCTATTCATCTAAGAGCCCAAAAGACATTTCCAGGGAAATCTTCCAGGAACCTCAAATTTAGTGCTTCCCAAACTGACCTCATCGTCTTCTTCCATGAAGCCAGATCCTTGTTCGCCTTCTTTGCCAGATCCCCTCTTCAGTAATGCTGCCATTGCTGTCCCGTTCGCTCAAGCAGGAAACTCAGGGGACTCAGGGCGGTCTCCTCCCGAGTCCTCCTCTCCCTCACACCCCCACACCCCGTCGATCACCAGCCCTGCAGCTTGACCTTGGCAGTATTTTCTTCCTTCCTTTTTTTTTTTTTGTTAAGATTCTTTATTTATTGAACTTTAGAGAGGGGGACGGGAGGGAGAAAGAGTGGGAGAGAAACATCTCTCTGTTGCCTTTTGCACATCCCCAGCTGGGGACCTGGATCGCAACCCAGGCAGAGGCCCTGACTGGGAATCAAACTGGTGACCTTTTGGTTTGCAGGTCAGCCCTCAGTCCACTGAGCCACACCAGCCAGGGATTGACCTTGGCAGTATTTTCAACCTGACCATTTCTCATCGCAAATGCCGTCACACTAATCAGTTCTCTGACAACTTTCCCTTGCACTTTAGCCGGTAGAGGTTATAGAAGTGCGGGGGTGTCCACGCTGCTGTCCTGTCTAAACCCCAGTGACGTTCACAACACTTGGGACTAAGTCGATCCTCTTCCTGCAGCTCCCAAACCCTCCTCTGCCCCAGCCTCTGTTCTCTCACTCCAAGTCTCAGTCATGCCGGCTGCATTTAGTTGCTTGACTTGCCTTTGTCCGCGCTCTGACCTCTTTGTGGGTCTATTTTCTTTCCCCTGACCCCCTCCCTAATCTGGCTTCTTCCTGTTTACAGGACAGTCCCTCCCGAAAGCCATTTTCTGTTTCTTGAATGGGACTGGTTCCTCTGTGTGTGTGTCCCCAGAGCACGCTGGACTGGCTGGGGGACAGCATTCACACTTCGTCATCATAACGTGGCTCGTTTGTGCCGTCCCCGGGAGACTGTGATTACGAGGCAGGGACTATCTGTCCTACTCTTGCTGTGTCTTCTGACCTAGCACGGTGTCTGGCACGTAATAAGAGCTCAGTGAATATGTGTCAGGAAATGCCCTGACTGGTGTGGCTCAGTAGGCTGGGCATTGTCCTGCAGAGGGAAAGGTTGCCGGTTCAGTTCTGGGTCAGGGCACAGGCTTGGGTTGTAGGTTTGGTCCCCGGGTTGGTCGGGGCGCGTAGGAGAGGCAACCAATCCCTGTTTCTCTCCTTCTCTTTCTCCCTCCCTTCCCTTCTCGCTAAACATAAGTAAATAAAGTCTTTAAAAAATTGTCAGGAAATGAAAGTGCTCATATTTCTGTGCTCTAAAGGCTGAACACATGTTTTGGCAAACATTACATTACGGATGTATTTATTGGGAAAGTTTTACAAAACAGTTCTAAAAAAATCACACTTATGTATATATGTAATAAGCTACTTTTGTGGAAAGGAACATAAATTGGGAATAAACAGAAAATTCAGCCAAGATGATTATCAGTTAGTGAGTGAGAATAGCTGGTAAAGGGAAAAGAGAAAAACCAAAAGGTAGAAGTCAAGGTAAGAGGAAAAGCACTTAAGAAATAAAGAAGGAAAAACATGGATACATAGATTCAGCATAAGAGTGAGCCTCACAAGTGACCTGGGAAGGGAGCCACGAGGCTCTTTGAGGGGGACAGGTGACGATTCTTCACGAATCATTACTTATTCTAGGGGCAGCACTCTCCACGTATGAAAATCTAGTACAACCTTGTGCTGTGTGTCTGGTGTCTTGTCGCCCCAAAATGAACAAGGAAGTCCAGCAAGCAAGGCCCGCATGCGACCAAGCACCTGGAATAATCAGTAAGGCTGGCTAAGGGAGTCTGTCATGCGATGACACAGCATCAGTGTGTCACAGCAGAGGTGACCGGAGGTGGCCCGGGGAGCCTGGGGCGGGGGGGGGGGGGGGGGGGGGGGGGGGGGTGGAGGAGGGGGAGGCCATGGTGCTCCGTGCAGGGAGCTTCTGGTTCACAGGGGAAAGTGGAGGAGAAATGGACAAGTACTGTGAGACCTGGGAGGGGAGAAATACTTAAGAGCAGCAGATAGCAACCGGGCACAAGGAGACAAAAGACACATCATGAAGTGCTGAAGGGAGGAAATGCGGAGATCAGGACAGAGACGCAGGCGCCACAAGAAAGAGAAGCAGAGGCAGAGAGGTGGGGAGAGAGAGAGCGGGGAGGGGAAGAAGAGACTGAGCAGTCAGGAAACGGAGAGCAAAACAAGCAAAGCCGGCCCCTGGCGCCATCCGTCCTCACCCCAGCGTCCTGTGACTGACCGAAGCTCCGGCCACCGCAGGCCACAGGACTCCGCGGCGGGACTCGGCCGCCCGGAGCAGGGACCCTGCCTAGAAGCTTTGCACGCTGCCGGGCCTCTCCTGACATCCCCGTATCGGGGGTGTCCTGCCGGCTTTCAGATTGTGTTCCTTTGTGCAGGGATCAGCAGCGAATCCAGGGCGGAGGAGGAGGCGCCTCAGGAAGCCCAGAGCCCAGCGCCGGGGCGTGGGCCGGGTGAGGAGGATGAGGACGGCCGGCCTGGCACGTGTCTGGATGAAACAGGTAGAATAAAATGTTCCCCAAAATTGCTCCGTCGCGTCAAGCCCTACCAGAATGATGGCAGTCATAAAACAACGGCCCAGGGAACTAACGTGACACCTTTTGTTTTTCAGATCCAAGCCACGAATCATAGAGATAAACTAAATACCTGGTTGGGCAAGTCCCTTCCAGCATCCCATAATAAGTCTGCCCAATCCCAGAATGCTTTGCCTCACTGATGGATACCAGGACATCAGTGTTCCAAAAAAGGAAAAAGCCTGCTAAAATGCACCCTGACTGGTGAACTTCAGCGACATCGTGTTCCCACCAATAAAAAACTCCTAAGCCCCGCATTTGGGGTCCAGAACCTGAGGCCTTACCTCAGTGTTCTCGCCCTCTGCCAACCCTCGATAAACCTGGCTTTGCTTTTATCAGTGCCCCTGGTCTAAATTCTTTTATATCAGGAGACAAGAACCCAAGCTCCACAGCAACATGGATTTAGAGTTCTTCCTTCTTGGTGTGTTTTCCTTGGGGTGCACTCCCCGGCCAAGGGTCCACGTAACCCTGGGATTCCGCTCCTGGCGAATGTGGGAGGCAAGGCCCTATACACTGGCCATGCATTTATCTAGTGACCCCAGAGCAGAAACAAGATCGCATGCCTATAGTGGTGTAATAAAAATCTGTATTTGGCTTTTGTCCCTAGTTCCTGGCAGGGAGCTCCCAAAACCCTTAGAATATCCCCAGTGATAATAGTGACTTTTAAAAACCAACCGCATGATCAGAGGATTAGAACTTTCAGCTCCACCCCCTGACATCTGGGGAGAAATGGGAGGTGAAAGATTAAGTTCAGTCACGGATGGCCAATAATTTAATCAATCATGCTTATGTATTGCAGCCTTGATGAGGTCCCTAAACAACTGGGCTTGGGCGCCTTTGAGTTGGGGAATATATGGACGCGCTGGAGACGATGTGGAAGGTCTGGGCTGCTCCCCCAAGCCTTGTCCTCTGCGTCTCTTTCCTTTGGCTGCTCCTGAGTTGTTCCCTTTATAATAAAACTGTAATTGTAAGTAGAGCATATTCCTAAATTCAGTGAGGCTTTCTAGCAAATTATTGAACCTAAGGGAAGGCGCCCTGGGCACCCCAAATCTGTAGTGTGCTGGGTAGAAATGTGGGTAGCTTGGGGACCCCATTTATGGCTGGTATCTGAAGTGGGGGAACAAACCCTTGACCTGTGGGGTCTGTGATAATTCTGGGCAGTTAGTGTCAGAAGTGAATTGTTGACTATGACAAGTTTGAGCTTTTAGAAATTATAAATTGTTAATCAGATATGTTGTGCAAAGGCAAAGGGGGGTAGGATTGAGGGTGGGAAGTGGGAATGGGCGGGGAGGGGGGCAATGGAGACAACTGTACTTGAACAACAATAAAAAAATAAATAACATGAGTTGCGAACACCACACACACACACACAAAGATACATTGTGTATCTTTCTATAAGATACACATAAATTCTATAAGAGTGGCAGATTAAGGTCAATCATGCTATTAGGACAAAAGGCAATAAGGCAAAAGGATAACTACGTGTCCTGACTCATAATTTACTATAAATTAGGGCCTGACTTTGTGAAACTACATGTTAATTTATAGATGTTTGTCTAGTAGAGATGCAAATGATTTGTTTAGTAGAAAGATAACCCCAAAGATTGTGATTTAATTGGCTTGTAGGGAGGACATGAGCTGGTTTTGGCTCTAATGTGGGAAACTTGTTTCAGCCAGCTTGGTTTTCCTGGCTAACTTTACAAGCCTGCTGTTTTTTTTAGTCCTGTGTTAGTAGTTCACACACATTGCAATAAATAAGGAAAAAAAGGAAAGAAAAAAGAAAAAAGAGAAATCAATGAATGTTTTATGTGGGGAGGAGGAAAGAAGAGAAAACTTTACTTACGAACATAATAAATAAGTCAAATAAGTAGAAGCACATGATATGATCCTTTACAGAAAGACTCAATATTTTCTATTGTGAACTTCACTCCCAATTATTCAATAAGAGAACTGGACAAGGCAATTTTAAATTTTATTTAGAAAAATAAATGAGCCGAAATGGTGACAAAAAAATTGAAATAAGTGTGATATGATGTTTGTAGGGTAGCAGGTGGCGTGGGGCCACGGGCACAGGGCCGCCCCCTGCTGGCGGCTCTAGAGGGGAAGCCAACAGGGACAGTATCACGACATGGTGGGCGTGGACTGAGAGCTGTCCTTGCTAGTTTTCTGAACTCCAAAAATGTTTCTGAAATCATCCTCAAATTTGGCCTCCAGTTGAAGTCCCAGCCTGATGAACTTATGGCCCTGAAAAAGCAAAGGTGGAAACAGTAAGAGCCACTGCTAATGAGCTTGGACTCCCAAGGTTTCAGACCACCCAGATCTTCGTTTTAGGCTGCCCCCAAACATTAAGTGAGCCTTCGTCCAGTGAAGAAGACCTTACGCTCCCTGACAGCGTGATCATTTCTCTTTATCTGGAAGACAGAGAAGCAAAAATAGTGCTGCACTGCAGCCTAATTCTTCATCAGAAGATGACTGATTGATTTAATCTGACAAAATTCTAGTTATTTGAGTTTTGAGCACAGCACATATGACTTGCAACAATGGGATAGCATGGAAGGGTCTGTGGCAAATTCACGGTGCCTTTTCCCTTTATTCTCACCTCTTGTTATTTAATCCTCCTTAACTTTTTGATGCGGCACTAGGGGATTTGGATGTAAAGAAATCCAGGATTTTGAAATTTGAGGAAGCTGATTTGGTATCTCCCTTTAGAGAAGAGAAACACTAGTGCCTTTGACGTGCACTCTGCTGTGCAAGGGATGGGGTCTGCAGTCCCCTGCTGGCTGCAGGAGGAGATCGGCTGCTGGGCCGTGAGCAGACTCTGAGGCCCTAAGGCTGTGGTCTGCCAGCACGCCTCTGGTTTGTGAGCATTTCCCCCTCTGTAGTCACAGGGCGGTTAGGATCCTTCCAGAATTTTTACTTGTGTGGGCTTGCCGCACGATGAGGGAAGTCATCACATTTATCTGGTATAAGACAATGAAAGGCCAAGTGTCTTAATTGAAAGAAAAAGGGATTCAGGGACAGCCACTTACCTTGTAAAATGTCCTGTGGTTCTGAAAGATGAGGCGCATGTCCTGCATAAACTCCTTCACTTGGCAGTACAACTTCCAAGTCATCTTTTTCCTGATTTTGTCTAACCACATGCACTTCTTCAGGCCCTGAAGTGCCTTTTTACTCTGTGGATGAAAATGCCAAAGGGTAGGCTGTTAGCATGGTTCCAAGTCTACATTCTACAGACTCTTCACTGCTCTGAACTGGGCATTCATGTTCCACTCCCCAGACTCATATGTTGAAACCCCAGCCCCCAATGTGATGGTCTTAGGAGGCAGGGCCTTTGGGAGATAATTAGGTCATGAGGGTGGAGTGCTCATGAGTGGGATTAGTGCCCTTTTTAAGCGGACCCCAGAGAGCTCTCTCCCTGCTTCCACCATGTGTGGCCACAACACGATGTTGGCATTCTGCAATGTGAAAGAGGGCCCTTGCCAGAACCTGACCATGCTGGCACCCAGGTCTTGGGCTTCCAGCTTCCAGAACCACAAGAAACACATCTCTATTGTTGAAGCCACACAATCTGTGGCACCTTGTCACAGCAGTCTAAGCTTCTAAGGGCTGACTGCACAGACTAAGAAAGACATCCATCAACAAGACAGTGATAAGGGCAACTGACACCCACTGCATTCACATTGCAAATTTGACAAATGCCAGTGTTGGCCTTTGTTGCTGTTACTTACATGGTATGGTTTTGTGGCAAAAAAGGGGCTTTCTGAACAGGAATAGACCTTCAAGAGGAGGAATTCACATTTCTGCAAAAGATAAAGGTGATCTTAAGTGGGAAGCAGCTTGGAGAGAATGAACTCTTCTTCATGTTCAGACAGAATGCTCCTGTGGAAACACAGGACGGGCATCTCCTTTGGAAGACAGATTTTGGTGAATGATCATATGATCAGAGCACAGTGAGGGACAGCAGCTTGCCTCTGGGCATCATCCCTCCAGCCCCTGCAAGATTGTGCCTCTCCTCTCCACTGAACAGAAGGGAGGACAGAGGCTGCATCTTCACATGGCAACTCACCAGCTTCTCCTCATTCAGCATCTGCCTCTCCAGGACCTCCGATTCCTGATAACATGGTTGATTTTCTGGGCACTTTTCCCAAATGGCCTTTATCTGGCAGAAGATGCAACTCCATGGGTTCCTGAGAGGCAGGACATAAAGTGAGCAGGGGCAGGTTCTCTGTGAAGTGGCCACCACTCCTCCAGCTGTTAAAGTCCTCTGTTCAGGAACAACTATTGGTTGCCACCTTGCAGCCAACTTTGGTCTTGGAGGCTCCTCCACACTAGAGTCCCATTGGGCTCCATCGCCAAAGACACCCCTCCCATTAGTAGGCTACTGAGTTAGGTGTCATGGTGGACAATGGACTCCCATTCATCTCAAAACTTAGGTTTCTCACCTGAGCCACCAGGAGTGTGGTAATGAGCCCGGGCTGCCACAGTAGAGTGTGGGGAATCGGCAGCGAGTCTTGGGCCTCCACCAACCATCAGGTCATAGGAAAAGTCAGGACACCAGCTCTTGCCTCTCAACTTTGCTGAATAAGCACAGAGCACAAGCCACAGGCATCCTTCCCTCTGGCCAATGTGGTCTGGCCTTATCTACGCCTAGAATCTGTGCTGCAGAGACTTCCTGAGAAGGAAATCTACTGAGAGAGTGTCAGATATTCTATTTGCCCCTAGAGCCCTTTCAATAATACCAGGCTCTCTGTGCTGGGAGGCTCTCAATGATCAGGTGAATACAATGATTCATCTTAGAGATGTCATTTAGCCTCTCTCCTGGCCACCCCAGTCCTTTCTCAAGAGGCCCATTATAAATTAAGATGTACAAATTGTCAGTTGTAAAAACAGTCATGGGGACATAAAGTACAGGAGAGGGAATATAGTCAATAACATTGTAATAATTATATGGTGTCAGATGGGTACTAGACTTATTGGGGGCATTAATAGGTAAGTTATACAAATGTTTAATTACAATGTGGTACACCTGAAACTAATATAATGCTGCATGTCAACTGTAATTGAAAAAATAGAGGTCCATTACAAAGAGCCCACGGTGTGGGGATGGGGACTATTTGTTGGTCCAACCAAAAGAAGGACTATCTTCTGGCCATGTAAATTGCTGACCACAGAGGTTCACGCTGGATCCCTGAGGTGGCACCACTCCCTGGGAGCTACCGCAGAGCAGGTGGGTTATGTTAGACTCCTCCCATTCCGGAGGACAACGCTCTGTCCTCACGGAGACACACACATTTCTGGAAGGCATCCTCTGCTCACACCACGACTTAAAGATGCCGGATGCCAGATGCCTCATCAATCTCCCAGTTAGTCGACATGCCATAACCTCTGACCAAGGAGGCATTTTACAGCCCAGGGAACGCAGCAGTGGACTCACCCTCAGAATTCATGAGTCTCATCCTGGACCCTGTCACCCAGGGTCAGCTGGGAATGGCCTTCTGAGGACCCATCACAGCTCCTGCTTTGCCAAGTCCGTGATGTTCCCAAGGCAGGTGATTCATGCCTTCCACCAGCAGCTAATGTATGGCTCCAGGACCCCATCAAAGAGTGTGGGTTGGGGAACAGAGCCAGGCAGGTGGCGGGGACACCTCCTTCTATTACGCCTAATAACTACTTGAGGAGTTTTTGCTTCCCAAGAATCTGCTGCTGCTAGCACGGTTAAGTAGCTCTGACATGTGAGGACCCTGCTTCCTCTGCATCAAGACACATCCAACGAGAGACAAAGCTTGCAGGCTGTGCGCATGCTTGGGAAGAGCTGCACCACAGCAAGAGGGGATCGGGCCTCACTCACATGTCAGGATCAATATGATGGATGTGGCATTTCATATGGAAGGACCTTGGACAAGTATCACAGCAGAACAGCTTTCCTCTTTTACAACACACCTCACATTCATTGGCGTTTTCTGGCTAGAAGGGGAGAGAATGTAGACATTACTGGAATCAGTGAGACTCTGGAAGGTTGACAGGTTGGGATTCTAGAACAGACAGACTTTGCTTGTACCAAGGTGACACTTGTAAGTTTCTCTCCACAAAATATTAAGGAACAACACCAAGTAGAGATTTTAGAAGGCATTCTGGTTTGCAGTGACGTTCAGGAGGAAGTGGCTGTATAGATGAGGACAGTTTTCCTTAGGAAGGCAGAGATTCAGCCAGCAACAACAAAGGGTGCAATAAAGATAACGGGAGAAATTTATGATTCTGCTGTAAAAACCTGGCTCAGTAATACACTCTTATCTAGTTGTCTATATTGTATCATCTAAACTGACTCATCGAAGAGTGCTCTACTGAGAATTTAATATGATGTCATAAACTTCTGAAATATCACTGCACCCCACTTTTTTTGGGAAGACCATGGGCACAGATGACCAGGTGAATGTCAGGGAAGACAGTGCTCTTCAGCTCTGGGGGCCTGGGGAAGATGCCCCATGACTCAGCTTGGCATGTAAGGTGTGGAGGCTCCATCTCTGAACAGCCAGAGAGTGATGACCTGGTGCTTTGTTCTGTGTAAGGAGGATGGAGGAGCCCATAAAATTGATTGATGCTGGATCTTCCACCAATCTTAATATGTGGGACTTGCAACCAGATTTGATTTCATTTAGTGAAGTCAAAAATTTGGCAATGTTTACATTTAAGTATTGTGGAATGAAAAAATACATGTTAAAATTGTAGAATTTATAGGTGAAAATAAGAATTGGTCAAGGAATGACCCATTTGGAGGGCGAGGGAAATCACGTTTTCTGTTTTTTTCTGTGTGTGTGACATTCTATATGGCAATAACGTGAATTTCTACATACTAAAATTTCTATATGTTGCCCTGGCTGGGTGGCTCATTTGGTTGGAGTGTCATCCAAACCAAAGGGCCACGGGTTTGGTCTCCAGCCAGGGCACATACCTAGGTTGTGGGTTCAGTTCTCAGTTGGGGTGTATATGGGAAGCAATGATCGATGTTTCTCTCTCACATTGATGTTTCTCTCCCTCAAGCTTTCCCTCCTTTCCTCTCTCTCTAACATCAATAAGCATGTCCTCAGGTGAGGATAAAAAAATAATAGTAAAATGAAGTTTCTATGTATGAGGTTCATGTGTCTGTGATGGAGTTGGAGAAATGTCCGGAAAGATTTGGCTTCCTTTTCTGGGACCAGCTGAGCAGAAAGAGAGTAGTTTGAGGAGAACTGTGTGGAAGGGAAGCGTTTCACCCAATGGATGGGTAATAGCCCTGCACCCAGATGAAAATGTCCTGTCTATTCCATGCATTAGAAGGAGGAATTCTAGGACAATATAGGTACAAAATAATGCACAGACTTGGGGACTGGCCTGTCCAGTGACAGATGGTTGAGATGCCGATGGGTGGTGAGGAAGTGGGAGGTGCCTGGGAGGGCCATTCCATTTCTTCCTTCTAGAAACACCACGCTTTGCCCTGTGACACTCCGCTCTCTTGGATTCCCCCCTAACACTCTGCCCCCTTCCCTGAAGCCTCCTCACGTAGAATGGTGGAATTCCGTGGGGCTCTGTTCTACATCCCCTCGCTCCTTTCACTACTCCCACGACCACGCCTACCATAGTTAGCCTTAAACTTTAAAACCTGTGTCTCCTTCTGAGTCCCTAAACAGCCACACTCTGCTTCCCATCATCTCTAGTTAGACGTCTTTCATCATATCTAAAATCCACTCTGTCTCCAACCACATTCCTTGTCTTCCTGCCTGGAATCTATTCCCTCTTTAGCTCCCCTCTCACCAAATACCCCATCATTCGTCCAGGAGCCTGGAAGTGAACACAGATTCCTTCCTTTCCCCACCCAGACATCCACTCCATCACCAGTGCTGCAGGTCCCACTTTTAAAATATCTCATCCTCGGTGCTTTAGTGAGGTCCGCTGCTAGAAAGATGTGGAGGGGGCCCTAATCATAACACCATCTTATTAGCCAAAGGAAAGTGGCCCCCTACTAGGGTTACAAATCATAAGTCAGAATATCATCTCTGTATTCAGTGAGCTTAGGTGAGTTGGACTTTACCTGAATTTGTGAATTCTCTTCGTTTATAAATGTCATATAAAAAGAAGAGGAACAAAAGTCACATCTATGAGGAACTTCTAAGCAGCAATACGTCTTTTGCTCATGTTCTCTCTTCTAATAGGAAAACTTGTGGAGTGGCTTGTTAGAGGCCTCCTTGGGAACACCCCCACATGGGCCTGGCTTGGCCTGGCTTGCCCTGTCATGGGGTCATGTAACTGTTTTTCCGTTTTGTCCTAACAGATGAGACTCACAGATGCTGACCACTATGTTAGGCTGCAGGTCAAGGTTTCTGAACATTGGGTATTGTTGGGATGACTTCCTTCCTTCCAGTCTGAAACAGGACTGCCTCTGCTTTCACTTGAGCCCAGGGAAAAGTGGCCACAGACAAACCACGGATTGTGATGCAAGGAACAGTGACCTGAGAGGCAACGATGTCACCACCTGCCTCTCTGGGTGGCCTGCAGCCCCCAGCCTCCCCATGCGTTATTCTCTCCTGTTAGACAATGAAGTTGGGGGAGGGAAGCTATAGGGGCTCCATAAAGGACCCACCTGCCCTGAATACATTCTTTGCAGAACTCATGGCAGGGTCTACACCTTAAACTTGCCAGCTTGGCCTGGCCTGTTCCTTCTGGCCTGCATGAAACCATCTCATCACTGCCTGAGCCATGGGGTGGATGTTTGGGATTTTTCTTCCCTTCCCTCTGCCTTTTTAAAAATGCCACTACCTTCTCATATTTCTCTTTACCTCTAATCTGCAGGCCAGCCCTGCCCATTTCCACTTCAAGAACCCTCCTCTAGAGACCTTAGTAGCCTAGAGCTCTGTCTCTCATAGCAACAGGGAGACAGGAAGGTTTCCACTGAGCAATGGAAAGGATGCTTTTACACTGGAGACACCCAACCCCAGAACCATCTATCTGATGTGGGTGATGCATCTGCTGTACTCTGCTCATCACACACAGTGACATGTTCCAACTGAGTGTGAGCACACTTCAGGAAAAGGTGGCATTGACACAGATAGCGTACCGAGGAAAAGGGCCTGGATTATTCTGGGGTTACAGGTGGGATTTAATACTTACGTATGGGTCAATAAAGCTACCACTGTGAGACTCTGGAGTTGTCTGTGGAAAGCAGAGAAAGGTTGAGTGACAATATTGAATATGAGCTTTCATTAACCCAACATCTGAACAGACTTTTTATGTAAAGGATTCATGCCCCCACCCTCCCTTTGTTTTGCATCTCCTTTTATGGGTCTGTATATCTAACTGGAGAACAAAATAACATTAAATTGTGTGTCAGTGATAGTTTGGTCCAACTCAAGTTCCGTTCTCTGGCTCTCAGATCCAAGGTGGCTTTTGTGAAGCCAAGTAGAGAGGGAGTCTGGCCCTCGTCTTCACAGATGGAGCCGGAGCTGCAGTGAGAGACTCAGGCTGACTCATCGCCTGCAGCCCCAGTGACCACAGGGCGCAGAGTCCTGGAAGGCATGCAGATGTCCCTGCAACTCCACCCCCTTCCACAGCTCTCTGGGCACAGCCCTAAGGATAAAATGAGCACAAGGTCCCAGTTCTACACCTCTTCTTCTTGAAGATCAGCACCTGTCCACTGTCTCCCGAATCCCAAGAGCTGCACTGACCTTGGGCACCTGCAAAATAACTTGGGCTCCATCTAATGTAGAACAATGACTGCCCTAGCTTTTGCTTCCAGCCTGGAGCAGAGGGGCCATAGACAAACGACCTAGTGGATACAAGGCAGAATGACCTGAGAGATGGCCATGTGACTGCCTGTCTCTCTGGGTGTCCTGGAACCCTCTCCCTCTCTATGAGTTATTCTCTCAGGTTAGACAATGATGTTAAAATAACCAGATAAGGTCAGTTCTGTCTCATTATCTGGTTTAAAGGGTCATTCTCCCCTCCATCTCTAATGTTTTAGTGCTTAAAGGGTCCTAGTCTCATACACTGTAATGTTTGAAAGAAGCAACTGCAAAAACATCATATTATAAAATCAAGTTTCATTAGAGTTAGTGAAATTAGTGAAGTTAGAAACTATAGAGGAGAATCAAGATGGCGGAGGAGTGAGTGGAAGTCACACTGATCTCCTCCCAGGAACAACCTGGAATTACAACTAAATTGTGGAGAAATCACCTGGAACAAACAACTGAACAATAGTGAGACAGGAACCTTGTAACCTCGGAGAGAGAAGAATCAACTTTAGGGCAATCTAACTGGTAAGGAGTACAGTAGAGATTCCAGAAGGCGGGCGGGCCACCCACAGGCAGCAGCACCAGGATATTGAAACTACCAGTTGGATCCCCCTGAGAAGAGCAGGGTCTAAACCAAAAGTGGGGATCTCTAGCCTACAGCACCAAAGACCAAAAAGTACACAGAAAACAGCCAGCTGTGAAAAGCGGCAGGGTTGTTCTCTGCCAGAGACAGGCAATTGGAGACACAAAGAGCCTTCTAAAGGGCCAATGCAGAATCTTAAAGGAAGCAAGGGAGAAACAGGTAGTAACATATAAGGGCGCCCCAATATGGCTAGCAGCTGACTTCTCAACAGAAACACTACAAGCCAGAAGGGAATGGCAAGAGATATTCCAAGTAATGACAAGCAGAGGCCTGCAACCAAGACTGGTCTACCCAGCAAGGCTCTCAATTAAAATGAAAGGCAAAATAAGGAGTTTCCCAGACAAAAGAAGGCTAAAATAGCACTTCTCCACCAAGTCAGCACTGCAAAATATGCTAAAGGGACTGCTTTAAGGAAATGAAGAAAAAGAGTCTATGAATACCCAGTTCCTTTCATAGCTGCCAATACTTGATATTACCAATATTTTTTAATATGTATTAATCTGATTGTGACAATGATATGTTATTTTAATTATTCATTAATTATTTGTTGAAACTAAACCTGTTTTTGTATATTTCTTGCCTATTTCTATTACTTTTAAAAACCTTTAAATGACTTTTTGGTATTCTTTATCCATTTTTTGATTAAATGTTTATAGAATTTTTTTCCCTAAAAAAACCCCAAACAAACTGTTAACCCTTTTTTAGATGTGTTGCAAATACTTTCCTATTCTATTACTTGTCCTTTAACTTTTTAAATACATATATTACTGTACAGCCTTAAATGTTTAATATAGTCCTATTGTCAATATTTTACTTTATAGCTTCTGGGTTTGAATATTTTACTTCAGGGTAAGAAAAATATAATTTTTTATTTTCTCCTAAAACTCCTTGGATTCTACATATTGATTTTTAACTCACCTGAATATTTCCTGTATAATGTGTGAGATAGGGCTCTATATTTGTTTTATTTCAAGTAATAACGGTCCATGCGCCTTATTTGTTGAATAAGCCGTATTTTACCCATTGATTTGAAATATCAACTTAATCATATATTACATTGTTAGACAGATATATACATTTGTCTCTAGAATGCTCATTATATTTCATTGATCTACTTGATTATTTCTGTGCTGGTGTCATGTTGGTTTAATTGCTGAAACTTTATAATGGTTTTACATTTTAAAAATATTTTATAATTAACTTTGACTAAAAAATAGATAAAATCAATCTGCATTTAAGAAAGAAAGAAATAAAAAGAGAGAGAAAGATGGAACTTCTACCTTTTGCGACAGCATAGATGGAATTGGAGAATATTAAGCTAAGTGAAATAAGCCAGTTGATGGAAGACAAATACCATACGATCTCACCTATAAGTGGACTTTATTCAACAAAATAAACTAACGAACAAAATAAACCAGAGGCATGGAAACATGGAGCAGACTGAAAGTGACCGGAGGGGATGGGCAAAGAGGACAATGGTGGAAAGAAGGGGAAGGGACTAGACAAAGAACATGTGTGAATGACCCATGGACATGGACAACGGAGTGGGAATTGACTGTGGGAATAGGGGGTGGTGGTGGGACGGGTGGATGGAGGTAAAGGGGGGAAAATAGAGACAACTGTAATAGAATAAACGTGATTTACAAATTAAGAAAAAAATGACAACCACCAACACAATAAAAAAAAAAAAAAGAAACTATAAAATGCGGCCAGAGAAAAGGAAAATCGATATGATAGATGAGAGAATAGCTGAAAGTCCTATGATAATCACCTTTTTTCTTGTCCGCGGTGGGTCTGGTAGAAATCCTTCCTGGAAAAGAAAAGAGATTACAAACTGTGTCCACTTTGTACTTTTGTACTTTTTCTACTGCTTCGAGCTTGGTGTTTCTGGCCACCTCCCAGATATGTTCCATTGTCAACAACATACATTCGAGGTATCTTCATGGGAAACAACTTCCCTTCCCAAATCTGTGACATGCTGCCTTCTGTTATTGAGACTCAGCTTTAAAAGCTGTACCCTCTATCTTGCTCTCCTTATAAAGTCTTTCCAAGTTTTCCCCTACAACCTCTTCTACACCCACCACTTCCTTTCCATTCCCCCCAAGATCCCTCTAGTTTGTGTCTTTATACCTCACACACTTCAGCTGCTCCATTGGCACATACTTGGTGAGTGACAGGTATCATGCCCCGCCAGTGGCCTTGGGTACACAAAGGTGTCCAGGCCTTCGGAGAGATAAGGGAGGAGCTGGCAAGCCATAGGTAAGGACAATAGAGTGTAAATCATGCTGTCAACAAAGTATTTTAGATTCCAGAGTTGAGTGAGTGTGGTAGATTGGATAATGGCTCCCAAAGATGTTCATGTCCTAATCCCCAGGCCTGTGAATGTTAATTTACGTGTGAAGAGAGATTTTACAGAAGTAACCAAATTAAGGATCTTGAAAAGAGAAGATTATTCTGATTATCTGGGTGGGGTCAAGGTAATCACAAGGGGCTTCTTAAGGGGGGGCAGGAGGATCAGAGTGGTAGGAGGTATCATGATAAAACAAGAGGCTGTCGTGATTAGTGGAAGGCACCATGAGCCAAGGAACGTGGGTGGCTTCTAGAAGGTGATAAAAGCAAGGGACACATTGTCCCTGCAGTGCACCCTGCTGACACCTTGACTTGAACCCACTGAGACTGATTTCAGACTTCTGGCCTCCAGAACTGTAAGATAATAGGTGCGTATTGTTTTAAACCCTAAGTTTGTGGAAAGTGGTTACAGCAGCAATGGGAAACAAACACAGTGAATGTGAAGGACTTCAGAGAATGTGCTGCTGGACCTTGGCCTTGCAGGTTGAGAGAAGGTATGTCAGGCAGAAAGGTGGTGAAGGTCATCTGAGATTTCCATGGCTTTAAGTACTCCACCCTCTAATCCATATTGCATTCTCCGATCAGATTAATATTTCTAAAGCATCATTTCAACTATTCAGTCGCTCCCTAACTGAAACCTCCCATGATCTCCCCTGTGATTAAAGAAGAGTTCATTCTCCTTCTGCTGGCCTCAACGGCTCTGCAATTAACCCAGCCTGTGTATTGAACCTCATTACCCACAACTTCTTGACATGTCGTGGGGAGGATTCTCGTGCCATCATTTTTATGTGAAATGCATTGTTCCTACATTCTTGCTTGTCAGAACTATTTTCCTTTTAAGGCCCAGCTCAGTACAAACCTTTCCATCAGACTGTCCTCAACCTCAAACTCAGAAGGAACTTCCCCTCCCCTGAGACCCTGCCTCTCGTCCTGCCGGTGCCTCCACCAGTGGTCCTGTGGTTCAGAACATGCAGTCTTCCTCCTGGTTAGGGCCTGGGGCTCGTATCTTACAGTCCCTGTGACTTTAGATGTCTCTCAGGAAATATTGCTGAGCCAAGGGCTTTTCATTATCATTAGGGTGGAGCAAGGAAGGACCATCTGCGGTGAGGGATAGACACAGTCAGAAGGCCCGCCTTCACGTGCCACAAGGGCCTGGTCTGCTTTGTCCACATCAGGGGGCTGATATGAGGACCAAAGGAGGCGTTTGAGAAGGCCACTTAGGTATACTCTTTTTCAAGAATGAATTTCAGGTGGCCATCAAAAGAAATAATGCTGAAATACGAGGGGTATTCCGTAATCCAGGGAACGCCCGCAGTGGTGTATATTTTCAGATACACAGCTCTACTCTGCTACTTTAACCAACCACTAGTGACAGAGTCAGGGCCACGATTTGCTGTCTACCTTCTACAGGGTAAGAGTTCTTGCACTTCGAGGATTAAGTTGTAATAAAAGCCAGCCAAGAGAACACCTGAGTGGAGTGTTAGTAATGACATCATTGTGACCTGTGCAAGGGAGGCCATGACGGTTTTCTGGACACTGGCAAAGCCTGGAGTTGGTGAACCATGACACTACCTGCTTGCTTTTAGCCCTTTGTCACTGGGGTACCTGGATCAGGTTCTTCAGGGGCCAGCCGCCGCAGCGCACGCTCTGCCTCCAGTTCTTGGACTTTTCGTGGTTTCCTTCAATTTCAAATTCCTTGAGGGTGAGCTGCTTTCCATCCTTCATCTCCACACACTTCGCTGAGATTCCTGCGAGACCAAACACAACAAGCTGAGCTCCCTCTGTGGCCAGCAAATGCCCCTGACTGAAAACCCCAGGACTTGGCCTCCTGCCATGTGGTTCTGGGGCCACCCATTTTGGGCTTGGAATCAGTAACACAAGAGAGCTGAGTTCCCACTCAGGGGCCCCACGGGCACCGGAAAGGTGAGGGCAGAAAGGGACTTCCTGCTGTGTGTGCACACTTCTTTGTGTGCTGAGAAGAGCAATAATTATTACCAACATTTACTTTAAAGATTTAATTCATTTATTTTTAGAGAGAGGGGAAGGAAAGGAGAAAGAGAGGGAGAGAAACATATCTGTGTGGGTTGCCTCTCAGGCGCCCCTCCCCCCCGGTGGGGCCTGGCCCACAACACAGGCATGTGCCCTGACTGGGAATCGAACTGGCAACTCTTTGGTGCACGGGCTGGCACTCAATCCACTGAGCCACACAAGTCAGGGTGCAACACTTTCTTTTCAAAAGCACTGAACTACCATATTTTGCCGTGCATAATGCGTTCCCATATTTTTGGACCAAACTTTCAGGTAAAAAGAAATCTTGTTTTAATTTTTTAAACTCAATTATTTATTTATTTATATGTAGAAACTTTTTTTTTGGCATTATAAAGGAATTTTTGCATTTATTTTTGAACATGCTATGGTACAAGACATTTTATGTAACAAATAATTACAAAACACAAGAACAGATACAAGGTATTTTCAGGTACTACCCGTGTATAATGCACATCCTTATTTTTCCCTCAGAAATTTGGGCAAAAAAGTATGTATCACACACAGCAAAATATGGTTTATTCAAAAGAGAAGCAAACAAAATGAATGGCTCTAAAGAAGAATGACCGGGACCCTTTCCCTTCCCTTCCTGAGAGCCTGGATAGAGCCGGGGGCAGAGGGGGCAGGTGAGGGCTCCCAGGTGGCCACGTGGCAGCCGCCCCCACAGCCACGTCTGCCTCGTCTGGTACAGTGTCGATCATCCAACCAACGGCAATCAACTATTTCTCACATTTTGGACTCATGGTTATTTTACATGGAAAGTAATTATGGAAATGTTATGTAGTAGGAAAAGTTAAATTACTCATACGCAATAGAGTCATAGGGCACACATTTATAATTGTTGGCACTAACCGTGGCAGATGGAAATTTGCGTTGTGCTTTAATAATTATAATTTGCAAATTGTTCCATTTTTTTTCTCCTAACAGTATGGTCAGGGAAGTTTCATTTTTATTCCCATTTTGAAGAGGAGGAGATTCAGGATGCGAGAGAGGCACAGCCTGGCCCAGGTGAAACAAGCACCCTTGGTATAGCAGAAGCTTGAAGTCCGGCCTCCGGATTCTAAATCCTGTGCCCCTTCTGGTCTGCACCAGGTGGTACAGACGTCACAGGGAACGTGACCGCGACGTTGTTGTTGGATTTCTCCTATGTGAACATTTCCCACCCTGGTACTGAAGCCCTTGCTGCTGTATTGGGTGCTGGGTGGGCGGAACAGGGACCTTTCCCATGGAAGAAAGGGGAGACAGCCCGGTAGGCTAATGTGTCTCAATTTTGAAAAGTGTGGAAATGCCGCTTTCCCTTCGGCCTATCTAAGATGCTGTGCAGAAGAGACCTAACAAAGTGGGCAAGAGACAGCTGTCTTTAGAAATGCCTGCTTCCGAGGTCAGCCCTTGGCTGACGTCTGGGAACTCGGATTTCGGGAACCTGGATTTCGAGAACCTGGATTTCGGGAGAGGTCCCCCACTTCCCACACATTCAGCTTATGCCAAACACCTGCTTTTCTTCTGGGAGCTTGGAATTTTGGGAGGCGATGGGTAAAGTATGCCTATGTAACTGACTCCTAGGCTCAGGGCAGCTTCCCTGGTGGACCACATCTCACACGTGCTGTTAGAATTTGTTGCTGGAGAATTGTGTGATTGTGTGACTCCACTGGGAGAGGACACTTGGAACCTGACCCCTAGTTTCCTTTCGACTTTGTCTCACATGCCTTTTGTCCTTTGCTGCTTTTGCTTTGTATCGATTTAATAAATCATAGCAATGAGTTTGACTATATGTTGAGTCCTGTGAGTGTTCTTACTGAATCACCGACCCTGGGGCTGGGCTTGGAGACCTCGATGTAGGTGTTTAGCCCTTGAACAATATAACGTCCACATGTGCGCTAGTTTCCAGGTGAAAGGCATGGAAGACCAGGAAACTCACCCTGTTTCATTTTCTCCTTATACAAAATCCCCTTTGCCTGACCACAGGTCACAGGAAGGTTAGGAGGTCGAAAATCCATATTTTTGTCTCTGGGAATTCTTGGACCTGCAAGGAAGCATGATTATTATTATTATTTTCATTCCATCTTCTACAACTGTGCCCTTTCTCCTCACCCATCGTAAGATCTTTCTTTTATAAATTAAAATGTGCTGGAGGGAGTTGTCCATGAACTAGGTCTTTCTTTTATGGCAGGTTAGACACATAAAGATAATGTCATCCTCCACTCCCAGTCTCTGAAATCCCGCACAAAAGCCTTGTGTGGAAGGACCTGAATTCCCAAGCTTATTGGCCACAACTACTACTGCACAAAGATTTTTCTTCTGTTTTTGAGGAAGAAGTCTAGTCAGTCATATTATTGATTTGAAGGTATGTGGATGGAGAAACAGCCCTCGGCTTTTAGCTTTGTCTGCTCGGCTGAGGCACCCTCTGGGAGAGCAAAGGGCAGGATGACAATGGAGCACCTAGTGTTGCTGGTGGAAGCCGGGCTCTTTCACAGGACTGCGAGGAAAGCATTCCAGGGACCTGCACATGGGAGATGGTGGTGTGGCAAGACGGTTCATTCGTGTGGAAGGCTGCCCCTGTGTTTCCTCTTTGTTCCTCCCACCGTGGAAAAAGTCCTACGTTGCCTTCAGCAAGGCCAACACAAAAGCCAAGGTCCAGAGTTTCTGTTTCATGTTGGAGGTTAGTCCTTTGGAGACCATGCTGTCAGCCGCAGGTCCCAGTAGCTGCTAGACCTGCATGGTTGTGGGCTCCCAGACAAGAGGAAATGTGCGAATGTGTGGGCGACTGAAGGTGAAAGAGAGAGAGAGATTGATTCTTTGTTCCCCTGGGATTATATTAGCCTCGGTTTCGGACCAACTAGGTGCCTTTTTCAAAATAACCAATCAACTTCTCAAGTTTTCACGGGCTTTTTGATGGGTCCACCCCCTTGTTCGACCAATAAGCCTCTATGGTCAAGCCCCTCTCCCTGCACCCCCCTTCAATCTGGTACCAGAGGGTAGGGAGGAAGGAGTGTAAATCCCCTTAGGTGAGCAATGCTGTAATCCCTCCAGTGTGAAGGTATCACTTCCTGGTGAAGCAAACAGGCTCATACTCCCCAGGTTCTTAAACTCAATCCTCCCTTTGCTTTCTTTCTTATTAATAACTAGTTAACGGCCTAGGGTGACATTAGCAAGAACAGTGTCTGTGTTCCTTCTGTGCTCCCTGCCTTGTTTCACTTCTCCTTCAAGTGAACTTGGTGGCTTTCACTCTGTGACCCCCAGGGCAGGGTGCCCAAGAGGACGCTGCAAGTCGCTCAGGAAGAGGGCCCCTGTGCCCTCTTGGGGCACTGGCCTCTGATTCTGCAGTTGTGAAGGTCTGAACATGAACTTCAGTCGCAGCAGCACCCGCTCCAGTCCCTCTGGCTAATGTTGAGGGGATCCATGAGGATACCTGCTAGGGCTTCTGTCCAGCACGGGGAGGATGGGCCACCCCTGGTCCTCTCGTAACCAGTGCTGTTAGAGCTGGGAGGGCCTAGGAGGCCACTCACCCATTTACAGAGGAGGAAACTGAGGCAAAAGAAGAAAGAACCAGCAAAAATCACACAATCAAAGCAATGTGAGGACACAAGCCTTGTTTTACCACCCAGGGTCCCCCTTGGTGGGCAACCGGTGTGTCCCTATGTGGTCAAGAGCTAAACAGCACATAAGTCCCACCCTTTTATCAGTGCAGTGAAGGGAGCCTTGCACAGGCCCAGGCAGGCTTGTGCTCCCTCACAGATCAATCGATTCACATCAGTAAGGTGGGTGTTATCAACATCCTGCCATATTGTTGAAGTTGACCAAGGCGGATGCCTACCCTAAGGTTTGTTACTGGCTCTAAAAGCTAATTAAGAACTTGATTGGTCTCTTAGAAAACAGAGTATAAAATAAAAAATTTAGAGCTTAATTACTAAAAAGTGTATTAATCACTTCTTTTTACCTCTTTTTCTGTATCTTTTCAAAGGCCCAGTTTTAACTGCTTTTGTCCCTGAGGGGAAAAAAGAAAATAACATAAATACAAAGCCAAAGCGGGGAAGGATTGAGGGTGCGAGGTGGGGGTGGGTGGGGCAGGGGAAATTGGGGGCGGGAAAATGGAGACAACTGTACCTGAACAACAATAAAAAATTTTTTTAAAAAGAAAATAACAAAATGCCTCTTGTTTATAAAATTGCACTGCAAATAGTAGTGCTGTGGAAAAACACCATTCAAGTGGAAACTCTTCAGGAGCCTGACTAATACTTCAATAAAAATATCAAATGCCTAGATCAGGATTTAGAAACTTTTTTTCTGTAAAGAGCCAGGTAGTAACTATATTTAAGGTCTGTAATTACTGAACTCTGCTCTTGTATTGTGAAATCCTTCATAGATAATGCATAAATAAAAAGAGGTGGCTGTGGATGTGTTCCAATATAACTTTATTTATAAAACAATGGGCTAGATTTGTTCTATGGGCTTGAGTTTGCTGAACCCAGGCCTAGACTTCGTTATAAAGATGATACTTAACTGAAATTCATCCTAAATTTCTTTTACTAATATCTCCAGATTATTCCAGATAAATTTGTAACAGTGTTCTATGTATTTCCCAAGCAACAGGGTAAGAAAAATAGTGAAGCTGAACATTCCTGCTGAGTGCTTGCTTTGTGCTAGGAACCACCCTTAGACCTTAGTTCTATTAGCTCAGTTCGTTGTTAGAACAAAAGTATCAAATAAGAACTAACATTATCTTCATTCACTAGGTAAGGAAATAAATGTGTAGAGATAAATATTCAAATTAAAGAAGGTATTGGAGATTTCCTCTGATAAAGAGACAGAGGTAAAAGGTAGTATATAAGGTCTCACAGATAGGCCTCATGGGGAACTCTACCAATCAGATAGCTGCTACAAACCTAATCTTGCAAGCAGATTTTTATACTAATTATGGTGGAAAAAATGAGCAAAGACTTAAAAACTAACTCAATTAAGGGTAACTTATAGAAAGGGATGCCCAAGTTCTAAAAGTTGTAGAGGTAACGATAACACAAAATGTCTTGGAAGGGTCCAGTATGCCTGTGACTATAACCCGGGTCTGTTCATCAGTAGCTATTATTGGCAAACATACATTCTCCTGCTCTTAGTTTCTCTCTGTTTAAATCCTTCTGGGTCTTGTGGGTGAGCTAGACCCCCTTTCATTAAAACCTTCAGGTTTACAGATGGTGTCAGGGTAAACAAACAGACGCTCATGTTCTCCAGCCAGTTTTTAGCATGAAGAAATTTGGGTTGAATACCAAATCATATGTGTCAAAGTGCTGAGGAGCTTTGCTTTGTGATGGTTCTTGGTGTGTTAGCAAGTTCCAGCACCCTGTTGTTATCTTACAGCTAGGAAGTAAGATGCCTGGACAAAGTAGGATTTAACTTTTCTTGGGTTGACCATCTTAATAACACTAAACCCACATTAGCCCTTATAAATAATAATGTCATCAGAAAAGTTAAAATCAATATAAAATAATTTTCTTAATAGTTTGGTCTACTCATTTTGGGCAGAAAAATATATCCGGTTGCCTCAGAGTATTAGCAGAAGCCTCAACATCTAAGAAGAACACAATAGGAGCCCAGTACACCTATATCTTAAAGAAAGATGCTGGTGTGGCCATGCTGCACAGAACATGGAAGGGGAGAGCAAAGCTGGTTCTGCCAGCATAAACCTTCCCTACCACCAGGCCTAGTGAGAGAAGCTACGTTTCCTTGGCGAGAATCATTGGACACTTCTCTTTAATTCAACAGAGAATGTGTTAAAAGACACACACTGAAGATGGACTTCTGTCCTTGGCGATGTCAAGGAAAGAGAGACTGTTAGACTTGTCTCTAAGAAATGTAAAGGTGAAGGTCATGACCAGAGCATGCTGCAGTTGGAGAAAGGCTGAGCTGGGAGCCAGCAAGGGAATCAATAAAGAAGCATGATTTCCATGGCCTGATTGGGTCCCTGTGGATGGGACCTTCTTGAGAAGTACTCTGCCTGAGAACCACCTGGAGGATGAAGTAACTGCAGCAAGGTGCAGACTTTTCAGAAGTACTATCCAATGTCTCAGTTCCCAAGCAAGTTGGCCACCGTCTAACTACTGAGAGATGGTAACATCTATTGAGTCTGCTACCCTAGGAGAAAATTTCTAGCCAAATTTCCTCTCCTTCACTCCCACCCCAGCCAGTTTTGTGGCCAAAAAAAACAAGAGTCCTGGACTGTAATTTGTCTGTAATTTGACAAATCTGTCTGTAGATGTGAGCCAGGGACTGGCTGAATGGGAAGCAGGATCGCGATGGGGCTGCCTAATAGGAGGTTTTGTCTGCCTTATCTGCTCCCCTCACTTCCCCTCCACATTAGCTTTCTTCTGGCTGAAAGGGAAGCTCACTGGGATTCTAGAGTCATCTCCTAATTGCACAGGGAGCAGGCTTTGCATCTCAGAGCCTCTACATGGTGGGGATGGAGTGGGGCAAAGAGCTGAGAATCTGACTCCATAGAAAGAGAAGTAAAAGTTTAAAAATGACCTTCAGAATGAGGGGCTGCTGCTCCTGCCCTTCCAGCCAGCACTAAAGATTAGGGGAATCCATCAAAGACACCTCTTCGGTTCCCTGTTCCCCATGCAGAAGAAGGGGCTGTCCACGGTGCGGTGAAGGATCCATAGGATGGGAAGCTGTATGTGCAGCTCGGACAGCCCTTGGAGGGCAGGCAGTCTCTTTATTATTATTTATTATCTCATTTTATTTTACTTTAAGGATGAGTAGGAAGAGGGAAGCACGCAATTCCCTCAAGGAGGTAGGACATGAAGAAAGACAGTTATATGACTTGTGAGTTACACAGTGATTTATGGCTACTGCAGTTGGCCTTTGACCAACTTGGGGGGTTAGGGGCACAGATGCCCACTGAGCTGAGAGTCTGGATGTAACTTTTGACTCTATAGTTGGCCTTCACACATGCAGATACAACCAGCTGTGAATAAAAAACAGTATTTTCCATCTGCAATTGGGAACCTGCGGTTGGGAAAGCAAAAACAGTTTTCAGTCCGCATTTGGTTGAATCCCCAGGTGTGAAACCGAAAAAAATCTTAGTATAAATGGACAGACATTGCTCAAGGGTCAGCTGTGTTTCCAGCCTGGAAGTTGTCGGTTCAGCAGGGGCAGCCCTGCGGTGGCCTGTGGGCCCTGGGTCTTGGCTGCAGATTCATCACCAAGGTACTTGTTGGAAGTGTTACCATCTTTCAATCCATGATACGTTTGTGAGTTGACTAAATCTGATATACTTCTTAACAGTTAGTACAGCTACCTACAGTGAGTAGGGAAATAGCTTTGTTACTAAAAGCAGAGAGTAAAGCATGAGAATTTAGCTGTTTAGTTATTGAAATGTATCCATCTTTAAAACTTTTACATTTTGGTTTGCTTCTTTTCCATGGGACTCGGTTATTCAGAGTTTGGATTCCATGTCTACTTCTGTTTTTGACTGAAAAAAGAAAACCCAGATGCTGTGAAAAGTTGCATTTAAAGCACATGTAATAGTGCTTTACAAAAATCCCATTTACTATAACTTTTCAAGAGCCTAATGCATAAAGAAAAAAAAAAAAAGAAACCCATAGCCTTATACTTATTAAGTCTTAGATGTTTAACGTGGGTTCATCTTAGATTTCATTTTCTTTATCGTCACATTAAGCTTAATTCATTTATACCCACATTCATTAAACAAAGAATTTAAGACAGAGTTTCATTTGTATTGTAATGAATGCTGAGAAGAGTAATGAGACTTAACAGTTATTAACTGCTTATTATGTGCTAGACATGAACAAAAGATCCTTACACCTACTAATCTCTTTAGGAGACAGAGACTTTTACTATCTCCATTACCAATTAAAAAACAGAAAGGTCCAGAAATTAGAATAACTAAGTGTAGCAATGTAGATTCCCTTTGGTAGAAAGGCAGAAATCAAAGGCAGCAATACAAGAATCTGCACTGTCTAGAGAGGAGCGATGACGAGGTACGTAGATGAAGTACTGGCCCTTATCTTTCCCTGGAATGAAGGCTTTTGGGCTGAAAATACAGTGAAAGTGATATTATAGGTTTGGACAAAAAATTAAGGTATAAGAAACTAACGAATTGAATATTACCCAAGGAGAATTTGTTCATAAAATTTCAAAGAATTAAGAAAACATACAAAGGAAATATTTCCCAGTTGAAAAAATGTACTTCAAGTCTTAGAAAGCCTTAGGGTTAGAGATATCAAAGAAGAGTTGATTGAAACCTTCTCTCAGGTGAATATGCGCTCAGACTGAGCAGGTGGCGAGGCGTGGGCGGACAGACGGCGAGGCCTGTGCAAGCCGATCTCCTGAGGGCCGTGTTCGTGCCCGCTGCTCCCCAAGGCAGGACCACGAAGTGCTCCCTGTCTCTCCTCTCTCTCCCTCTTCCTCTCCCTCCCTCCAGTTCTATGGTAAGACTACAATCTGGACTTGTTCAGCGGTAGACATCTTAGACAAACACATTCTCTTTGTGCCCCTCTTTTGTCTTTTTCTGGTACTGTCGGGTTCACCTTTCATCGAACCTGTTGAGGCCATAGTAAGTTAAAGGTATAAAGGTGGTCTAGTTCAGCTTACCAGAGCTCTCTTTCCTGGAAAATATGGGGCTTAAGACCTACTAATAATATATAGCCACTGGAATTTCATTTGAAATTGTTCCTTGTGAAGTTTCCTGCTTAATCACTCCAGAGGAAATAGAGTGGCTGTTTTTGGGTTCCCCATTCAAAAGCTATTGACACCACAGACTTTCTATAGTAGCTGAGGAAGGTGTTCCCTTATCCCTCAAGGCACGTGAGAAAGTTTCAGCGTCAAAGTATGTGATCTGTTCCCCCAAGAATTTGAAGGAGGCAAAAGAAATTTAAAAACGCAAGCCTGGGAAGTCTGAGGAGGATGAGTATATTGGGAGCCAGTGACATGCTCACTGAGAGTAGGGCCATAAAGAGGCACGTTTCTCAC